TGATAGAATTCAAGAGGCATTAGGCACCTCTCTCAGATCCTTGTACGTCGTTTTCCTTTAATGAGACTTTGAAGGGCTCTAGTGCTAAACCATTTCAGCAGACACTTTCAGCACTTTTAGTTAGACCTGTCCACATCCAGCTCTCCTCGTGTCTCCAAGGTGTCCTGTTGCAACTGATGTAGTTTTATAAGCCTAAATATTCAATTAAACTTTGAGGAAGTTCTTAGGAGCCGTTGTCAGGTTACTTATTGAAACTCTTTATTTATTTATTTATTTATTTATTTATTTATTTTTGATCTCATGTTAGGTGTTCCTGGGTAACTCAGGAGAGGTGAAGAAGTACTCCACCCTTCTCATCCAACCTGGTTTGGCCATCAACAGTGACTTACTGCTGGATTCCACCCATAGACACGTCTACATCATGACCAGCCATTCTGTGAGTTCAAACATCATGTCATTAGTACACTACCAGTCAAAAATAATAATAATAATAAAAAAATGTGAAAGTCTCTTATGTTCACCAAGGCTGTATTTATTAGATATTGTGAATTTAAATTGTAATAATAGTTCATAATATCAAATAATTGCAAAATTAATGCAACATATTAATAATTAATTATTAAATAATTAATAATTGAGCAGTAAATCAGCATATTAGAATGATTTCTGAAGGATCATGTGACACTGAAGACTGGAGTAATGCTGCTGAAAATTCAGCTTTGCATCACAGGAATAAATTACATTTTAAAATACATTCGAATAGATAACATTTATTTCAAATAATATTTCACAATATTGTTTTTTTGATTAAATAAATGCAGCCCTAGTGAGAATAACAGATGTCTTTCAAAAACATTTTAAAAATCTATCGTAATTATTCCAAACTTGTGACTGATAGTATAGGTCTTGTAGCTGGCCAATAGCATGACATTTTTATTTGTATTTATTTAATTATTTAATCTGCTGTTACTGGTAATCACCTTTTAAGGTTTTTTTTTGTTTTGTTTTTGTTTTTGCAAATGTTCTGATGTATCGCACGTATAAATGTACTTATAAAAACTGTAAAACTGTATTTGTTATAATTATAGGATAATTATGTTTAAAAATAATTTTAGTTTTGGCTGATTTTTGAAAATGTTGTTTAAATAAAAGCAAATTTAGTCTGTAATGAATGTTACAAATTTAGTCCAAATTTCTGGAATGTTTCCCAAATTTACTGGAAATTTTCAATTTTTCTGCAACCCTAGTCCTGCTCGAGATTTCTAAATTGCATAAAATGTCTTGGTTTTGGCTTTGTTTTTCTGTTGTTTTCACACTTGCTAAAGATAATGATGGAAAAATAGTTTGACCAATAGCGTGCAGGCTTTGTACATAATCGACCAATCATGGTATGCGAAAAAGTGGGATCTACAATGTACGGTCAAAGCAATGTAATGCTTACTTATATAATGTAGAAGAACTGTAGAGAACATGTCAATAGGAAAACAAAGCCAAAACGTGGACATTTTAGGCAATTTGGAAAAAGAGGACTGTGATAACGACCCAAACAGTCACAAAAGAGGATCAACATCATAGGAGCGAAGTTGGAGTCCAAAAGGTTGTTTATTTCAAACAGATGTGCAAAATGTGAGACTAAATATGTTTAAGATCTTAAAACAGAGATTGCTGATAAAAGCAGTCTGAAACTAGAACTGCTAAGTACTTCAAACAGCACTAACTCCCCTCCACAACACTGAGGCTGGAGTTTTCTATGCTTACACAGCATCACAATCTTGTAAACGAGCTCTTATTCCATCCTACTACTAGTGACAGCCATCTTAAATACACATTTTTCCCACTTTGCTAATTGGAACATATCGTGTTTTTTATAAAATAAAGTCTTGTCTCACAATATGATTTATTATTGTGAAAATAAGTATACGTGAAATATATACGTGAAAATAAGTAACGAGTTATGTAAATAAATACAAATAACAATAAAAAGAGGATGGATAAATCAAAGCATATTTGCACTAGGGATGGAAAGATTACTTGTTTGATGATAGGCTAAATCATGATAAAATTCCCCACGGTTAGTATTACAGTTTCATATTTTAATTATCATTAAAACCGTATTCGATTACCGCGATTTGAACAACTCAGGATAAATAAATACTATCCAGCATATAGGAAAGTTTTAAATAACGGTTTCAAAATAGTTTCGTTTTGTGTGAAAACATGACGGAAAAGCTGAGAAGTTTTAAAAGAGTGCTAAGGGAATTATACAAACGAATATACGAATGAATTAATTATATGAATGTACCTCTGAAGGTTCTGACTGTCTTCAGAAAAGATTCGACGGCATTTTGTTTTCATCTTCACTCCATGTATTACCTAAAGAAATGTTCTTAATCGCAATGCTGCTTTGTACACAGAGATTACGGGAAACAGCTCTAATTCTGCTGTTCCATAAGCGCCACCTAGTGTCAGAGAGTGGATTTACAGAGTTACATTTACATTCAGCCTGTGTTTTAGTGTTTATGCAAACAAAAAGTAATTTTATTCATTGTTTGCGGATTTTGAATACAAAACGTGGTGAAATGATTTATGAGGTCAACTGAAGACTGGAGTAATGCTGCTGAAAATTCAGCTTTGCATCACAGGAATAAATTACATTTTAAAATACATTCGAATAGATAACATTTATTTCAAATAATATTTCACAATATTGTTTTTTTGATTAAATAAATGCAGCCCTAGTGAGAATAACAGATGTCTTTCAAAAACATTTTAAAAATCTATCGTAATTATTCCAAACTTGTGACTGATAGTATAGGTCTTGTAGCTGGCCAATAGCATGACATTTTTATTTGTATTTATTTAATTATTTAATCTGCTGTTACTGGTAATCACCTTTTAAGGTTTTTTTTTGTTTTGTTTTTGTTTTTGCAAATGTTCTGATGTATCGCACGTATAAATGTACTTATAAAAACTGTAAAACTGTATTTGTTATAATTATAGGATAATTATGTTTAAAAATAATTTTAGTTTTGGCTGATTTTTGAAAATGTTGTTTAAATAAAAGCAAATTTAGTCTGTAATGAATGTTACAAATTTAGTCCAAATTTCTGGAATGTTTCCCAAATTTACTGGAAATTTTCAATTTTTCTGCAACCCTAGTCCTGCTCGAGATTTCTAAATTGCATAAAATGTCTTGGTTTTGGCTTTGTTTTTCTGTTGTTTTCACACTTGCTAAAGATAATGATGGAAAAATAGTTTGACCAATAGCGTGCAGGCTTTGTACATAATCGACCAATCATGGTATGCGAAAAAGTGGGATCTACAATGTACGGTCAAAGCAATGTAATGCTTACTTATATAATGTAGAAGAACTGTAGAGAACATGTCAATAGGAAAACAAAGCCAAAACGTGGACATTTTAGGCAATTTGGAAAAAGAGGACTGTGATAACGACCCAAACAGTCACAAAAGAGGATCAACATCATAGGAGCGAAGTTGGAGTCCAAAAGGTTGTTTATTTCAAACAGATGTGCAAAATGTGAGACTAAATATGTTTAAGATCTTAAAACAGAGATTGCTGATAAAAGCAGTCTGAAACTAGAACTGCTAAGTACTTCAAACAGCACTAACTCCCCTCCACAACACTGAGGCTGGAGTTTTCTATGCTTACACAGCATCACAATCTTGTAAACGAGCTCTTATTCCATCCTACTACTAGTGACAGCCATCTTAAATACACATTTTTCCCACTTTGCTAATTGGAACATATCGTGTTTTTTATAAAATAAAGTCTTGTCTCACAATATGATTTATTATTGTGAAAATAAGTATACGTGAAATATATACGTGAAAATAAGTAACGAGTTATGTAAATAAATACAAATAACAATAAAAAGAGGATGGATAAATCAAAGCATATTTGCACTAGGGATGGAAAGATTACTTGTTTGATGATAGGCTAAATCATGATAAAATTCCCCACGGTTAGTATTACAGTTTCATATTTTAATTATCATTAAAACCGTATTCGATTACCGCGATTTGAACAACTCAGGATAAATAAATACTATCCAGCATATAGGAAAGTTTTAAATAACGGTTTCAAAATAGTTTCGTTTTGTGTGAAAACATGACGGAAAACCTGAGAAGTTTTAAAAGAGTGCTAAGGGAATTATACAAACGAATATACGAATGAATTAATTATATGAATGTACCTCTGAAGGTTCTGACTGTCTTCAGAAAAGATTCGACGGCATTTTGTTTTCATCTTCACTCCATGTATTACCTAAAGAAATGTTCTTAATCGCAATGCTGCTTTGTTCACAGAGATTACGGGAAACAGCTCTAATTCTGCTGTTCCATAAGCGCCACCTAGTGTCAGAGAGTGGATTTACAGAGTTACATTTACATTCAGCCTGTGTTTTAGTGTTTATGCAAACAAAAAGTAATTTTATTCATTGTTTGCGGATTTTGAATACAAAACGTGGTGAAATGATTTATGAGGTCAGTACATTTTGAACATTTCCAGCACATTTTAACAACACCGTGATAATACTGATAACTGTGATAATTTAGGTCACTAAATTATCAATCGTGATAAGAAAAATTCATACCGTTACATCTCTAATTTGCACAAACATTTCCATAAATGAGCTAAAATGAGCGCTTCCCCTCAGGTTCGCACTTATTGCCACGCCCACTCAGCTAGATCAGGAAATACATAATAGCAATACACCAGAAACAGAACACAGTAAAACAGTGATGGAAGACAACTTTAAGGATGTGTGGTCACTCTAGTTGAATAATTTGTATGATATTCAAATAACATACTGCAGAATTTCCACTCACAATCAGCACAAAAAATGTGGAAACTCTGGGCCATTGCTGTGGCCGTGTGTGATGTGTGAATAAGTGATTTCTCCTGCTGTGCCGTGTGGTCAGGTGGAGAAGAGGCCTGTGGCAGAGTGTGACAAGCACACTGATTGCACTTCCTGTCTGGCAGTGAAGGACCCATACTGCGGTTGGTGTGTTCTTGACGGCCGGTGAGTTTCATCTTGTAATTCCCGCTTTGGACTGCAATTTTCAGTTTATTTTAGGAGTATTTCTCTCTGTCTGCCGGTTATCTTACTCATCCTCCTGTCTGGTCTGTTTTTCTCCTCGCTCCTCCAGGTGTGGGATGCGTTCAGACTGTCGGCTGGGCTCGGTCGAAGGTCACTGGCTGTGGAGTTTTGATGAGCAGCAGCGGTGCTTGAGAGTGGAGTCACTGAGCCAATATAACGCCAGCCTTGGAGAACAGAAACAGGTATAAAGTCATTCAGTCAGAAATTGTGATAAAGTGGGAAATTTAGAGCACCATCAAAATTCAGTCCTCCTTCAACCATAAAGCCTAAACGTAAACCCTGCAATATTTCAGTTAATATCTTTCATTCACTAAGATGTAAGATTTTTTATGTTTTTTTAAAGAAGTCTCTTATGCACATCAAGGTCAAAACTACAGTAAAAACAGTAATATTACAGTATGTAATGCTAATGCAGTTTAAAATAACTGCTTTCTTTTGTAATGTATGTTGAAATGTAATTTATTTCTTTGATGCAAAGCTGAATTTTCAGCGTCATTACTACAGTCTTCGGTGTCACATGATCCTTCAGAAATCATTCTAATATGCTGAGTTGCTACTCAGCAAACGCGTATTAGTATTATCAATGTTGAAAACAGTTGTCCTGCTTAATATTTTTGTTGGAAACTGATGCATTTTTTTCAGGATTATTTAATTAATAGAAAGTTCAAAAGAACAGCATTTATTTGAAATAGCAATCTTTAACGATTACCGGTTTGACGATAAATCATGATAAAATTCCACACGGTTGGTATTACCGTTTCATATTTTAATTATCATTAAAACCGTATTCGATTACCGCGATTTGAACAACTCAGGATAAATAAATACTATCCAGCATATAGGAAAGTTTTAAATAACGGTTTCAAAATAGTTTCGTTTTGTGTGAAAACATGACGGAAAAGCTGAGAAGTTTTAAAAGAGTGCTAAGGGAATTATACAAACGAATATACGAATGAATTAATTATATGAATGTACCTCTGAAGGTTCTGACTGTCTTCAGAAAAGATTCGACGGCATTTTGTTTTCATCTTCACTCCATGTATTACCTAAAGAAATGTTCTTAATCGCAATGCTGCTTTGTTCACAGAGATTACGTTGAAAACAGTTGTCCTGCTTAATATTTTTGTTGGAAACTGATGCATTTTTTTCAGGATTATTTAATTAATAGAAAGTTCAAAAGAACAGCATTTATTTGAAATAGCAATCTTTTGTAAAATTATACATTTCTGTACTGTCACTTTTAATCATATTACTGCATCGTTGTCTCAGTTAGCATATGGTTAGCGAGCTACAGTAATTAGTCTCTAAGCTAGCGGACTCTGCCACTGCACTCCCTAATGGGATAATTCACACAGTATCTTGCCTCATTTATAATGCTTAAAAGCTTTTTCCCTAATTATTGTAATTTTTATTTAACTTTTCCGTAAGGGATGCTTTTCTAATTAATTAATCAAAGCTATAAAGCTTATTGAAACAAAAAATATGTTTTGAGTTACTGGACAATGTTTGCGAGATTATAACCATGGTTAATATGTTTCTTTTGTGTGTGTGTGTGTGTGTGTGTGTGTGTGTGTGTGTGTGTGTGTGTGTAGATTGCTGTGGGTGTCCCGGGTTTGCCCAGTCTGTCAGAGGGTGACATGTACTCGTGTTTCTTTGAAGACACTGAAACAACTGCTTCGGTCCAGAGCACCACAGTCACCTGTGCCACTCGTGAGGCCCACAGACTTCCACCGGTGCCACAGGGAGAGGGTAAGAAAACCCACATGCTAATGATGTTTGACATGACATGTTTGAATCATTTTCTGTGAGACGACTTAAAAACTGGCCTTAAGGAACTGGTTTGCATGTGGAAGAGACTGTTTGCGATGTGTGTGTGTACCCATTTTTGAGTGAGGAAATCTTTGTTTTCCCATGATTGTCAATGTGACATTTTCTCACAATTTAGAGTGATTACCATTCAATAATATTTTAAAATAATAATAACAATAGTGCTTTAATTAATCAAAAAGTGACTGTAAAGACATTTATAATTTTACAAAAAATGTCTGTTTCAAATAAATACTGTTCTTTTGAAGTTTCTATTCATCAAATAAACCTGAAAAACAAGTACTGTATCAAGGTTTCAACAAAAATATGAAGCAGCACAACTGTTTTTAACATTGATAATAATAAATGTTTCTTGAGCAGCAAATCCACATATTAGAGTGATTTCTGAAGGATCATGTGACACTGAAGACTGGAGTAATTATGCTGGAAATTCAGCTTTGCATGACAGGAATAAATTACATTTGAAAATATATTGAAATAGAAAACAGTTTGTTTAAATTTTAATAATTTTTCACGATATTACAACTTCCATAAAATTTTTAATCAAATAAATGCAGCCTTAATGAGTACAAGATACTTATTTCAAAAACATCAGAAAAATGCTACCAAAACCAAACATTTGAACAGTAGTTGATCACTCTGGAATTCTATAATAGTCATGTTCCGGTTTCACTTCCTCTGTTGGTTTTTCCGCATCATTACGCTTCCATGGAAGCATTCCACTGAAACGTTAATGATATTACATGAATGACGAAAAAAGCTGTGGATGGTGCATTTAACTTGTGTAACCTGATGTTCCAGTGCCATAATATCCGTTTAACCATTTGACCCAGACTCCTCTCATGTTTGTCCTCTATAACAGATTGTGTGTCCGTCACGCTGTCCCTGCGCTTTCGGACGGTCACCATAGCTCTCGCAGACTTCACCTTCTATGACTGCTCTGTGGTGCAGCAGCTCTCTGGCACCAGGCCGTAAGTCACATGGACTCTCCTGCATTTTAATGCCACATGAATAAAGCAATCACAAAAATACAGTACAATGTTAACAATATTGTAAAGTGGAAAAGTGTTAACCACTTTTAGCGTCATGCCATCATCATCCAAGAGCAATATTAAAACATCCATTGGTGAGCGGCTGTCATGCGTTGAAGAATGTCCCAGAGGCGTGAGAGGGGCAGGGCAGCTGTCTCGCTCTCCGGACCTCACTAACACATCCCTGATGATTTAACAGCTGTTTCCCACATTCCACCATTCCTCCGCCCCGACCATCCTCCCTTACCCATACACCCCTGCAGACAGCCGCTGATGGGGCGGCTCTCCCTGATGCTGTTTTGATTTGCGATGTGAGAAAGCTGTGAACTCAGCTCTGTGTTGTTTGATGAGTTTAGGGGAGTCATGTGTAATTCTAGAGCTCAGCTATTTTGGATGCTGGGCTGCTTTGCTGTCTTCATCTAAATGCTCAGAGTGGTGTAGATGGGTTTAATTTATGCAGTCACTTCTAAACTTTTGGTCCATTATGTTCTGTCTCGCTCTGTTTTTAGGTGTAGGGGCTGTGTGAACAGCCGCTGGAAATGTAACTGGTGCATCCACCAGCATGTGTGCACTCACCGGTCCATGTGTGACCGTGGTGCCATCATCTACAACCAGCATGTAAGTTTTTGTTGATATGTGAGGTCATATATGTGAGTTTGACATGCTGTGCCATTATAGTGGAGCCCAAAAGTATGAGACCTACAGTGAAAGTGCATGTGTATATTTTAAAACAATAGTTTTTATATATATACATTAGTGCTGTCAAACGATTAATCGCGATTAATCGCATCCAAAATAAACGTTTTTGTTTACATAATATATGTGTGTATACTGTGTATATTTATTATGTATATATAAATACACACACATGCATGTATATATTTAAGAAAAATTGTGTTTATATATTTTATGTTTATATCTTATATATTTTTATTTATTTTATGTTTATATATATATATATATATATATATATATATATTAGTTAATGTGTAGTAAAAAACTTATTTATCAACATAACACTTTGTGGAAAGTTTAATTAGAAAAAAGTATTTGATTTTGTCCCCATTTTGTTACAAATTTGATTAGTGAACTAGAAATAGTAGAATATGAAATTGTGAAATGTTTCTTATTAAATTTGTCATTTATTTTCTTTTCTTTTTTTCCCAAAACATTTATTTCTATTAATTCAAGTTTTAAATCACAGTTTTTAGTATGGTCTCAGACTTTTAGACCCCACTGTATGTGTTTTTGGCTCCTTTTTGCTTTGAATAACCGTTTTTGGTTCATATAAACTGCCATTTAAAAGTTTGGAGTTAGTAAGACTTTTTCAAACAATTTAATACATTTTTTTTTTTAGCAAGAATGCATTGTTACAAAAGATTTCTATTAAATAAAAGCTGTTCTTTTGAACTTTGTATTCATCAGAGAATCTTGGGGGAAAAGTATGTTTCCACAAAAATATTAAGCAAAACCATTGTTTTTAACATTGATTATTATAAGAAATGTTTCCAAATCAGCGTATCAGAATGATTTCTGAAAGATCATGTGACACTGAAGACTGGAGTAATGATGCTGAAAATTCAGCTTTGCATCACAGGAATAAATTACATTTTAAAATATAGTCAAATAGAAAACTGTCACTTTAAATTATAATAATGTTTCTCAGTGTTACTGTTTTTACTGTATTTTTTAATTAAATAAATGCAGCTTTGTGATCAAAACTTCTTTCAAAAACATAAAATCTTACCAACCCCAGACTTTTAAATGGCAGTACACATAACGCTTGCTTGTGTGTTTTATGATTTATAATGTTTAATTCAGCACCATTGTTTATGGATTTGAGTTGATATTAATTTATTTCAGTTGCTTTTTATTTCTTTTTTTCTCCTCATTCTTTCTGTTGTGTCCTATGTTCGTCTAAAGTTTTCGCTCCCCACGTCTGCTCCTCAAACAATAAAAGACTTTGACGCGCACACGTACACCACCTCCATACCCACGACAACAACAACCCTCTCGACCACTGAGGTTGCCATAACGACCGAAGCCTTTGTTATGACTACCCCTTCAATGACCCCGCCCACTACTCCAGAGCCCACCACCACACCTCTGGAAACCACAACCCCACTCGACCCTCCACCCACCACTCCCAACCACGCTACAACCTCCTCTACGCACCCATCCAGCGCCACTACAGAGTCAACCGATACCATCACAGAGGCCACCACCCTCTCCAAAAATGCCTCTTGGGTGGAGGAGAGCATCCAGGTAGGTTTGCTGTCAACGCCGACCCCGCAATCATACGAAGAACTGGTGGGACCTTCGTCACGTGAAGAGGCCGCTGAAGTGACGCTGCCCGCGTTGAGAGCTGGGGAAGTGGTGACGATGGGGCCGTTGATTGAAGCGCTGCCCTCATCCTCCTCTGAAGTGGTCACCCTCTCGCAGGCGGAGATGGATATAGATGCTCTTATAGACACGGGCATCCCTGTGTCGTCAGCCAGCGCCCCCTCTGGCGATGGTGAGGCAGGGCCTGATTCATCCGATTTCCCCCTCGCTCCAGACACAGACTACCAGTCTGATTCGGCTGACCTTTTCCTCCTGGTGAGTGTGGTTCCTCGGGCCAACTCTGCTCGCTGCAGATGCTGGAGGTTGAACGTACCTAAAGCGTAAATTACATGCGTGAATGATGGGATATATAATTAAATGGATGAAAGCAGTTCTGCTCTATTACTAATTCAACCGTAATTATACATTAAAGTCATTTAATGTCACAACATTAAAGCAATGTTCTGGGTTCATGATGTTGATTTGCACAGAAATTCATTTGACTCATCCACCATCAGTTTGTAAAAACAAGCCAAAAACTGGGTTACAGTAACACACTCGCAGTTTAAATGGATAGTTCACCACCCAAAAAAGAAAATGCTGTCATTTACTTACCCCTCATTACAAACTAGTGTTGTCAAAAGTACCGACTTCGGTACCAGTCAGTACTGAAAATCTAAAAATGTGACGATACCAGCATTTCCTGCGAGCATTTTGAGCGCTGTTGAGTGGATTCTTAAACACCTCTGAGTGGCCATTTTGTTCAGACGCTCAACAGATATGGCTGTGATTGGCTACAAATGATCATGACGCTCTTCACATACACACGGGAGCGTTTGAAAGCCGCGTCTATCAGCGGATCCATCTATGAGCAGATATATTAGAGATCTGCTGATAGACGCGGCTTTCAAAAACTCAAATGCTGGTATTGTTACATTTCTAAATTTTCAGTACCGACTGGTACCAAAGTTGGTACTTTTGACAACACTATTACAAACCTGTTTGATGACTTCTTCGGTTGAATTAAAAAAGTATTTTGTTCAAACAATGAAAGTCAGTGTGGCCCAAATATGTTATTTTGGACCCCTTTGACTTTGATTGTTAGGATAAAACAGCTGAAATTTTTTTCTCTCTCTCTCTTTCTCTCTCTCTCTCTCTCTCTCTCTCTCTC